CTTGTAGCCACATTTTCATTACAATAAGTTTTTCCCATTAATTAAGGCACTTGGTTTAGTTGCATGAGTTTAGTGGTGTAATCTGTGCATTAAGCCTCTCTTCCTATCACTTAACTCAAGTTTAGTTTAGTTTTATTTCAATTGCATGCTTCACATAGTTCAACATTAGTGTAATCAACCGAACAAATATCTTTTTAATCTCATGCTCATTAATGTCAAGTTAGATTCTAAGCCAATAATCCCCGTGGACGATCCCTTGTCATTATACTAACGTATAAGTGTTAAGTGGCTTTTATAAATGTAAAAGTTGATGTCCATTTAACACATCTAAATGTATACACATTTTGTGGTACACACCAAGGTTGCATCAGGTTTGATTTTGTGATTGAATAAAAAAATATTGTGGTTGATTCACTCTCTAGAAGGGGAAATGCAGAAGGAGAAGAGTAACAAAGGAAAATTGCGGCTATTACTCAACCATTTCCCAATTGGGTGGAGGCAATCAAATAGGAGGTGGAGTCCAATCCTACTTTGCAAGGGATAGCACAATGGAAAAAAAATGATGAGGCAATAGGTCCATGGGAACTTTAAAATGGAATTATCGTATTTAAGAAAAGAATTTATCTTGATTTAAATTATTCCTTAATTAAAGATATTATCTGTTGGTTTCACAACAGTGATGTGTTTTATTTTACCACTTGCAATAGTACGAATTCTTTGCAGGATAGGGCTACTTAGAGGGTGTCGAACCTCAGGGACTATGGTGGTTTTATCAAGTCTGAAATTAATTTCTATTTTAATTTAGAGAAAAGTTTGTTTGTTGTGTTGCAATTCAATAGCATGAACAGAAAAGTAAACAAAGTAAATAGATTGATATCAGAGAAAGAAGATTTTAAGGCTTGATTTCACCGTGAACCTCATATTATGGCCAATTGTCTCAACCTTGGGATTTCAATGTTTATCTATAACTCAGAATTAAAAACCATTAACATTCAATTTAAAAAAAGATAAATCATGAACGTTTGTTAATAATAACCTATCTTCGGTTGACACGAATTATCCAAATACCTACTTCTAACTAATTTTGCAGAATAATTCGTCTTCCCTGAGCATATTGCGTAATCTCTATTCTTATTGTCATGAGAAGCCCTTAGTCACTAATCTTAAACAATAAGAATAGGTTGATTTTGATTTGGGAAAAATTATTAAAGCTAAGACAAGGTATTAATTTATCAAAAATCAGTTTTATTCAATTAAAATCCCAATTTCTTAGAAGATCTAAGTCAATTGCTCAATAATCATACAATCAATTATACATTAATAATGAAAATTCCAAAGTTTAGATCAATCAAACCATAATAATCGAATTCGAGTTACATCAATACCCTAAGAAGAGATTTAGCCACTCATGATGATAGAGGATATCATCTTGGTTGGTGTAGAACTCATCATCATGAATTGCACTTTTCTTCTCAAGATCTTCTTCTTCAATTCTCCAAAGAAAGCTTCAAAACCCTAAAAGTCGCCGCCAGATCTGAAAAATTGCAAGAGAGCTTTCTTATGACCTTTCACATTCTTTTATAGAAGAAAACTGACTTTTATTCCTTCTTAGATGGACTCAAGGATTTCTGGAGTCGCCCCCGGCAGGCTAGCAATGATGGTGGGGCTTGGGGCTGTCACACAAGAAGTGTTCGAGTCCTCTACCAAGCCTTCTAGTTTCGTCGACTAACCTGGTGCTGTAGCTGTGGGGCCGGCTGTTGTATCCCCAGTTTGGTGCCCTGGGGTGGATCCGAAGGGCCCTACCTCAGGGAGTTCTGGGTTATCAAAAAAAAAAAAAAAAAGGGATTTCTGGAGTCATCTGGGCCCATCTAGGGTCAAAAAGGCTGAAAATAGAATAATCCCGTAACTAATTTTTAAGTGCTAGGATGAGGGTGATCAATCACCCTATCTAGATTATTTTCAAAGCGTCTTTTTGCCCAACACTTAGCCAAATTTCACCATTTTTCAGCAGGGCGATCACCCTTGCACCCTCATAACATGTAATTTTGTAATGCTGTTTTGACCTATTTTGAGTCCGAACCTCGAAATTTCTATTAAACACAAACATGACAGCCTTCGAATCTTATTTCCATAGCCTCTAAGTTTGCCCAATTTGGAGTTTCGAGTAAAAAATTATGCTCAAAATATTGAAGTAGGTCCAGAATCTTCAAGGGTGCTCGAGCGCTGTTTAGGGTGCTCAAGCCCTATCTCCAAAACTTTATCAAATCTCACTCGGATGACCCCCAATTTAGCCCAAAAGATCCAAAACACCTCCAAAGGCATCGAGAACATTGTTTCATGTCTTAAAGTCATGATTTGATCACTTTCTTTGGGAAATCACCTACGAAAGCATATAATCAAAAATCAGTATAAAAATTAGATAGAAATATCACTCAAGACCTTAACATATACACTTTTAAGGGCTCGAATATGCAATATTCAGCGCTTATCAAACAGCACCCATGAAGGCTATTAAAAAACTCTCCAAAGGATATGCACCAATTTTAATTGGAAAGGAATGAAGAACAACATTAGGAGCTTAATTGTGGCATGCGACACGTGTCAACGTCACAAGGCAGAACAACTCTCTCCGACAGGCTTACTTCAAACCTCGGCTAACTCCAAATCAAGTATGGGAAGACATCTCTATGGATTTGATTGATGGATTGCCTTTATCCAAAGGAAAATCTACTATTTTGGTGGTTGTAGATAGGTTGTGTAAATATGCACATTTTATTTCCCTTTCACATACATACACCGCCATTGGAGGCGCACAAGTTTTCTTTGATAATATTTTTAAGCTACATGGAATGCCCAGAACAATTGTTTGTGACCGTGATCCAACCTTCACAAGTATATTTTGGTCAGAATTATTCATGATAAATGGCACTAATTTTATCTATAGCTCAAGCTACCATCCTCATACCGATGGCCAAAGTGAGGTGGTAAATCGAACGCTAGAAATGTACTTGCAGTGCTTCACCAGTTCCCAACCAAAGAAGTGTAATAAATGGTTAGCTTGGGCTGAATATTACTACAACACCAATTGGCATCCAGCTATTAAACCACTCCTTCTGAAGTTGTGTGCAATCGACCTCCACCAACCTTATTGTCCTACATTCCAGGTTTGGCTAAGGTTGAAGTAGTAGAGAGGCAATTAGTGAGATCAAGTCATCAAGGACTTACGGAATACTCTCAAGGAAACACAGTCGCATATGAAGAAGATTTATGATCACTCCCATAGAGAAAGAGAGTTTGTATCATTGCAAAAGAATCTCAAGCTATTTCCTAAATATTATGGGCCATTCAAGGTTCTTAAGAAAATAGGAGTTGTGGCTTATAAGCTTGAGTTGCCGAAGGAATCCCGAATTCATCCAATCTTCCATGTGTCCTTGTTGAAGAAAAAAATTGATGAGAAATTGAAGTTCAGACTGAGATGCTCATGACAAGAGATGAAGATGAAACTCTCTGCCCTAAACCACAAGTAGTTTTAGATTGTCGAGTTTGTAAGAGGAAGGCAGAAGTGCTCATCCATTAGCAAGGATTATCCCCTGCAGAGGCAACATGGGAGGACCTACTAGCAATGAAAAAACAGTTTCCAGATCATGACGTTGAGGACAAGGCCGCCTTTAAAGGGGAAGGCACATTGTTACGTATTTCTTTTTATTAATTTTCTCATCATATTCTTCCAGCTCGTGGCATCTCTGTTAGTTGGTTGAGGCCTAATAAAAAGGAAAGAAATAGTTTTCTCCTCAAAAAATTGCAAGTTAACTATTAGTTGGTAGAGTCCTACTGATACTGATTTTCTATTTTAAGTAGCTTTTATTTAAGTTGAAGGAATCATCAATAAAGCATGCTTATCCATTATTCAACCTTAAGTTGTATCAGAGGTATCCATTGCTCAATTAATCGTTAAGTCTTTTTCTTATATTGCACCACAGTTCCCGTAAATTAAAGAGGAATTCTCCTCAATACGTACCAAAATTATATGTGGCGTTTGGTAGTATCAAATTGGCACACCCGCAGTTGCCTCGAGCCTCCCCTAAATCCCATCTCTGCATCATAATCTAACTTCTAATACTTGCCTTGATAATATATATATATATATATATTGGTACCTTCCCAAACGAAACTAGTATTTATGCAGTTGTAATAAAATTATTGTGTTTGATTTTGATTTTTTTTATTTTTTTCCCAAATATATTTCAATAAATTGACCAAATCAAACTCACAAATCAAAGAAAAAGTTGAGATGAATTTTAGGAATTCATAAAATAGCAGTAGTAACAGAGTACTTGTTCTCACGATGTATTCATTCTTAATCTCATTATTATCCATTTAATTAGTGTATATATATATATACAATACGATATTTCAAGTAATAATATTTTACATTTACCTTCTAATAATACCATAACTGTGACTTATTAAAATTATTCATGAGACGAAACCTATGGTCAACTCAACACAATAATTAGATAATTGATACAGTGGATTAGACGCGGCTTACAATCTTCTACTATTCCGTAATTTACATTTACATTAAATAGTTTAGTAAAAAACTAGTAAAAAATTAAAAAGTAGGAGGAGAGGAGAGGAGGAGAGGAGAGGAAATGAAACATAAAATCTCCCTCTCCCTCGCTCCATATGGCTCCGAACATATGATTTTGTTTGGTTAAATATGAAAGAATTTGGATATGTAAGACCATATGATTTTATTTGGATAAATATGAAAGAAAAGAAAATTAAAGAAATGATAACATTAGTTATATGAAATAAAAGAAAAAAAATTAACAATAATTTGTATTTATGAAGAAAAATAACGATAATTCCTTAACTCCATCATTTCAGAGGTTTAAGGAAAGGAAAGGAAGAAATATTTTGATTCCTTGTTTTCACTTTTTTGCTTTGTAACGAAACATTTTATTATCATAGATTTATATGATAGATCAGTCACACAATAAAAAAATTTCTTCTTCATTTTTGTCCTTCCTACTCAATAATAAATCAAGGAACATATTTAGTTTTTTTTTCTTCTATCGTCAAAGAGAATGTCTACCATTATTCCTACCTTTAAATTTTCATTTCTTCATACCTAAACAATAATTATAAACTATTCATCCACAAATTTGTCTGTATAACAAGCCATGTCATAGAGAAATAGAAATATAGCTATGTCATCTGTTCAACCACCAAACAATATTCCAATGTCACTGGAAACACACTGCATGCTCGAGTCACTGGAAACACACTGCAGGTTTTCGACTATTTAAGATCAGACTTAAAAGTAGATCTATTGATGTCACATTACACGGCAACGACAGTTCAGATGCATTTCCAGTAGCAAATGCTAAATTCCGAGGCAGATAAAATCATCCATTTGAGCTACAGAAGATTCGGTTTATAAACTCTCGCAGTCCCCAGCAAAGGTATTTTTCTTTTGGCAGAACTCAAATCTTTTGAACGATAGACGAATCTGCCTTCTTGTGCATCAAATCTGAGTTCTTGTCATTGCACCGAAAAATGTGAATATTGGAGACAATGAACAAGCAAATGCAGTATAATGGCACAAGTGAACTGAATGTGTTGAATCATAGATGGGATACAAGGGAACCATATTTAACCCCTTCGGAATTTTTTTTTTTGCAAACTGCAGAGATACTATCAGAGGAAAGTGCATCCATGACAATTTTGAAAAGGGAAAAAACGATACAAAAAAGCAAAACGACGATGACCTAGCCGACATAATTACATTTTAGCCATATGGATTACACATATTCCAAAAGCTGTGGAAGAAGTAACGAAAGTCATATGAATGCAATATACTAATTAAAACACCCAAAACAACTCATTTGAAACCATCATCCATTCAGTAGAACTGTCTCCTCCGCCTTCTACCCCGTTTCAAGGGAACTGATGTTGGTGCTTCGCCATTCCCTAGAAATTCCCATTTCACAATGGCACCATCCCAAGAAGAGCTGATAATCATAGGGTAGAATGGGTGCCAATTACAATCTCTTACATTATCTTCATGGTATTTGAGGCTTGCAACTTTCTCGCCAGTCACCTACAAAGAATGATCAAGAATCCACTATAACACAAAGTAGCAAGAAGGAAAGAAGATGGAGAAATCAACAAAGTTTTTCAATTTCAAGCCTAACTTAAGTAATGATAGGGAAAAAAACGAAGGAAAAGGTTAAGCCAGGCCCTTCTCCATGTACTGTCACAACCATTGCTTGTCCATAGCCATGATGAAACTGTGATGCTCTGTGGGCTACATCAAGGAGGTTATGAGAAGGCACACATTTTTTCTTTTTCTTTTTCTTTTTTTTCAGGTAGAACAGAAGGCGGCACCCATATTGAACAGGTTAGAAATGCAGTTCTTGAGCAGCAAGTCTGAAACTCAATTTGGTAGATGACAGAGCAGATTAAGATGTCAATTTCAACTAAGATAAAGCTATTTCCCAATGCTTACCAAACAAACAAAACACACACGAACAAAGGCCTTACAAGCTCAACCCAACAATTCAAGGTTCATTACAGTACCGTTTGACTAAAGGTCTTAAATTGTCAATCAACCTTATTCAGAAGACAGCACAATAATCACAATATCTCACTCCACAACCTTTACCATCATAAACAAATTTATAATTATCCATTTCTTATATAGCAACCCTTACAGACGTGCATCATTTTGTGGTTTGGATCATCAAATTGAGTGTATCTTTCTTCATCTCCTATGTGGATTGACAAAATGTTGTTCAATTTTGCATGTGCCTCAAGTACACAATATATGCAGAAAGAATGCCGCTAGGTAGCATGGGCATGGATATGAAGCATGGATACGTACAACACACATACGTCAACACATCAAATCCAAAAAATGTAGGACATGAACATGGACACAGATAAGGCATGCACACAGCTAATACAAATATAAATTTTCATTTATTAATCTACTCCCTCCATCCCATAAAAAGTGTCATTTTTAGGGAACCGTGACTCTCACAAATTGAACTGTCCCGGTTCCCGAAACACGACACTTTTTTTGGGACAGAGGTAGTATTACATAAGACACTTATAGAACTTTAATTAACTTGTGATTTCTATGAATAATAAAAAATAAAAACCATAATTTTGAAGAAAAAGCAACGCAATTACCATAAACATAGTATATATTATATATCATCTCTTTTGCCTTGTCATTATAAATATATTTGTCATATATGAAAAGTGTCATTACATGACATGACGTGTATAATGTCAAAAAAAAAAAGTTAAAAGAAAAGAGGTTGGACACTTGGACGTATCTTCATAATATTGTTTCCTAGACTATTATGTGTTTGTGATATACAAGACTTACATTGAAGAGTGTGGGCTGTGTTTGTCGATTGTCTGGTACGTGTTGACCGAGTGTACGGGATGTGTGGGTCAAGTGTCTAAAATAATAGAAGTTGTGTTAAAATTATGGACGCGTCCACTAAGTGTCGCACACGTGTCCATGAAATGTTGGTGTCTAACACGGTACCTTCGTAGAAGTGCCTGTGTGTCTTACAAGAGTGGCTTTCTCCATTTCAAGATCCTACTATATTAGCTCTTTATCAAAATCTCACAAGATTTATCAAAAAAATCTTGGTGTCAGAGAGCAGTCAATGCATTGAACACATACCAGATCATAGATATAAACAGAACCATCACTAGATCCAGTGTAGATGTACTTCTGGCCGGTGCTGCAAAGAAAAAAGAGCATACAAGATTAAATACCTAATTCAAAATACTTTTAACCATTTCATACTCTTTTTCAAGAATTCAAGATGTCATTTGGTAACTAAGGCCATAGAATATTCAATATCGTCATTCATCACAGTAAACCAATGTTCTAAAAATGTAGACAAAATTTCATCCTAAAAGAGGCTGAGGCGGTCCCATCCAGTTTAGCCAGCATACAACCACATCAAAGCAAATTTTGATAGAAATTTAAGAGCGAATGACTTGATTATTGAAAAGTATCGCGTGATTTGTCTCAATAACCCTCTTTTGACAAAGCCACTCCAACTTGTCCAGATTTACGGGGCTCAACTATAAGTTCCAAGTAGAGGCTGTTCCCTGAGTTGAATGTCGAAGCAGTTGGCAGCCTTTGACATTTATTAAAGCATTGAGTAAAACCAAGATTAGCAGACAACTAACTGATATTAGGAGTGAAGCTACATAGGAGAGACAATAATCATTCAACCCCACTGAAATTTGAGTATTAAAGAAGTTATACTTCCCTATAATGGACCCCTGCATTGCTTGTGAAAAATGAAAGGTGAAAGGTAAAGTTTGATATGGGAAATTATGTAATTTAAAAAAATAATTAAAAAAAAAAACCCAGTTAATCTTTTGTTATTTCAAGTTACTTGTTTCAGTTTCCTATCCCAAACCATTTAAGAGAGAGAGAGAGAGAGAGGAACAAATAAGAAAAAGGAGAAAGAAGAGAGAGCTGAAGAGAGTTCTTATTCCTGCAGTAGTTATCTTTCTGCTACTGTGTGGGCATCTGCCATTAGTTACCCATAAAATTATGATTTGGCTCAACCTGTGCCTTTTCTTTTAGGCCGCCAGTGGTGCAGAATGAACTAATCCGCTACCAGAAAGTTTTCTGAAACCGAACTGAATGGAATTGTTTCTTTAACCAAAATAAAATTATAAGCCTTGAAATTTTAATAAATATAAAATTTTAATTATCAGAATATGTTGTTTTATGAATAACGTTTGATTTCTTATTTATAACTTTAGTACTTAAGCATTTCAATTTTCACAATCTTTTTATGTTTCTTTTCAGAGAAGATCCATAAAATGGAATCTATAAGCAAAATTCACGTAAATCAGATTGTGTTAAATGGGTTTCCTATCTTTTTGTTCATCTATGTCATAAGGTTTTCTCATTAATGTCAAATCAATATTGTAGAGTGTACATCATATCATCTTATTTTCTTAGCAATGGTCATGCATTCATATTTGCATCAATTAGGATAGTACATTGCAAGCATAAGATTATATGAAATTACGAATGAATGTATTATACATTGCAAGCATAAGATTAAATGAAATTACGAATGAATGTACTAACTGTTACATTATAGGTGTACTCAAATCTGTTAATTATTCAATTACGTGTGTAATTTCTTTAACTGACGTGTGCTAACAATTCCTATCAAAGAAAGCTTGTTTGTTTTTCTCTTGTTCAAGTCAGCTAGCAAAGGAACTGTTTTGGTACTCAATGGTCATCTATAGTTTTAATCCAATGGCTGGAATCAACCCTTGTTTGAAATTCAATGGCTGTGATTGATTGTTAGATTATGTGTGGCTGGGATTTAGTTATTCAAACGGCTATATGAGGGTTGGCTTTTATATATATATATACTTGAGTACTGATATTGCATAGGCAAGATTCCTTTTGACCAAGGATCTTCACATACTCTGCAGAGAGTGGCTTTAAAAAGGAAGAAGATTCAGAATGGTTGATCCAAAGAATAGACAGCCTGAGTCATATATAGATATACATATACAGTGAGCATCACAAGAGAACATTTCAGACCAAGCTTTCTTCAGGAAGATTCATATCATGTCTACGCCGAAAGTGGGTGTTTCGGTTTGGAGACCAGCAAGAGTTTGAAGATCCATCTGCGTTTCAAACCGGTGCACGCCATTGAAGACCCAACTGTTCCGGCAAGACCTAGAAACCAAATTGGAGAGCCTCAACTCTACACAACTGGCAAACTTCTCAGACGTATGCAACCGGTGAACTTCACCTCTACACAGTTCCGGTGAGTTTTGTTCCAGTTCCGGTGAGCTGTGGTTCAGTTCTGGTTTTCCAGTTCTGTGCGCTTTGTTTCAGTTCCAGCGAGCTTCATTTAGAGACCCAACAGAGGCGCGTACTTCAGTTCAGTAAATCTCAGTTCTTGCGTGCCTCAGTCTGGTGGAATTTCAGTCCAGTAAAGAGCTACAGCAAACAGTTCCAGCGAGCAATATATATACACATACAGAGGTCTTTCCAGAAAGCTTAATATAAATATATATATATATATATACATACAACTGTAAGTTGCATTGAAGACCCAGCTTGGCTGGAGTTGCATTAAAAATCCATCTTGGCCAGAGTTCCATTGAAGAGCCAACCGAAGGAACTCCATTGAAGACCTGAAAGAGCCTAACAGAACTCAGTCCGGCATGCTACAGTTCAGTCCAGTAAACTTCAGTACCGGGAACGTTAGGCTGGTGAAATTCAGTTTCGGCACAACTGTGAGCAAACAGGTGTATAAGAGCAGAAAAACAGTGAAGACATCCGTGGGTTGGTATTTTATATGAATATGCTCTATTTGGTTTTCTTTCTGGTTCCTCTCAAGGTATCATCAGTCTCCAAATGACCTGGTCTAGCTTCATCTATCATTCTCATATATAGAAGCAGACTACCACAAATCAAGGGCTACATCAACGTGGGCTTGGGTCTCATTTGCTATACCACTCATAGCCTAAAGCAAATGGGTTTCAACTGTATGGAGCCATGGTAAATCACTTCAAGCTTGGGAAGAGGATGTACCACATTCAGACCAACTTCCTTAACTTTCAAGCTTTGAAGTAAGGGCTGTGAACCTTACTCTCTAGTTGTATATTTTCCATTCATATCTTGTATAACTAGAGAGGCATCATTTAATTTATATTTCTTCGTGAGGGACACTTGTGAGCACTTGGTTCAAGCATGGGGATGTTGTGAACAGAAGGAGTGCTAGAGTCATTGTTGTGAGATTGGCATGTGGTCCAAGCAAGGAGGTGCTTCGGACACGGGAGAGTGCAAGAGTGACTTGTACATGAGATTGGTGATAGAGTTCAAGCATAGAAGTGCTGTGGACAGGATGAGTTTAGAGTGAACTTGTGGTAACTATGTTACATGGACTCGGGTACGGGTGTCGGACATGGGTATGTATCCATGCGTCGGACGTGTCAAATCTCCAAACAGAAGGACACATGGACATGGCTAAATATTCATTTTATTAATTATTTTATTTTATTTTCTAGAGTAAAGTAATATTTTTATCTAATATAATGTTCAATATAGGCATTTAACTCATTTTAAAGTAATAATATAATGTAATTGAATGATTGGATATGTTTTTTTAAGTACATGTCCAACCAAAAGTGTCGGACACATATCCCATACCCATGTCCGAGGGATACGTGTCCGACACGGGTACTTCACTACTTTTGAAGAGTCCATGTAACAGAGGTGGTGAGCAATGTGAGTGAGATTGTGTGAGAGTGTGTTGGGCTTCACAGCTTTGAGAACATTTCCCCACACGGGGGCTTTTACCTGGCTATATTCTATGTCCTGCAAGTTTAATATCTCACATGTGCATCCACCATTTTGAAAACTTGGGAAAATCTCACAAGATACCAATTCACCCCCACCACCCCCCCCCCCCCCCCCCCCCCCCCCCCCCTCTCTTCCCCTTGGTATCTAAACTTTTAAAACATAATACAATCAATAACCATTGTGCAACAACTAAGCCTTTTTTCCTAACTACTTGGGGTCGGCAACATGAATCCTATGTTTCTATTCCGCTCTATTTAAGGCCATAGCCTCAGTCAATCCACGTGCAATCATATCCTTCCTTGGTAACTCTACCCCCATTAATTTTGCTCTTCCTCTTTCCCTAGTGTTACACTCGATGAGTCAATGTGGACTACGTCATTTTCCTAACTGCCTCACTTAAAGGTCTTCTTTACACATGTCCAAACCATCTGAACCAATTTTCTCTCATTTTATCTCCAATTTGTTCTACTCCAACCATCTTCCACATGTGATCATTTCTAATTCTATCTTTTCTATTCTTACTGCACGTCCATCTCAACATTCAGATTTCCGACACTCACTTTATGCATATGTTGTTTCTTAGCTGCCCAATATTCTGTGCCAATTTTGCCATAAAGTATGACTGGTCTAATAGCTATTCAATAGAACTTCCCTTTCAACCATAACGGGATACGCCCTATCACACAATATACTAGATGCACTCCTACATTTAACTAATCCTACCTTAATTCTGAAAATGTTCACTTTTTTGTACCTCTTGATTCTCAATCCTCAATACCTCCTCATTTGTATTTCAGTTCGAAAGCTTCTCTCCAAACCTCCAAAATTGGCATGAACTCCTTTAGTCTCGTCAGGTAAAACAATATCATCGGCAAATATCTATCGTGTTTTAAAAAAATTCCACTGCCACATCATCATGCATAAACTTTTGTTTGGAAAAAAATATTTATAAATCATTTTCCTCACTTTTATAAGCATTTGTGTGCTGACAAATTGAAATTTATTTATCAATATTTTTAACAACTGAATGCTGAAGTCATTAATTACTACGTAATTGTTAACTAACTTCACTCCTCACTATCAAGTAACAGACTGTATTTCATGCACTCGAGGAATTGGGTAATTTAACACATTTACTAAGACCAATCCCTTTGAGATTTTAAGTAAACATCATCTTGAAAGAAATAGAATACATTAGTACTAGAAGATACCAATTACTATTAGTAAATTACCTATATGCTGGGGAGAAATAACAGCGTATGAGAGTTTGCAAGACTTCATGTCCTTTATATGTAGTCAATGATTGATCATGTGGATGTCTCAAATTTCTTGCATCATTTGGGTACCGCGTCCATCTGTAATCCCAATCAGGATCTCTTTGCCTTATACTGCTAAAAAAGATAATGATCAGTGGACAAATTATTTTTAAATACATAAAATTTCAGCTTAAAAAGAACCATATTTTGACATAGACCACAATCAAGTTGCAACACCCCAAATCCAATATTAGAGCAATAGTAGAATTTCCATAAGGCGAATAAATATTATTAGAATCAATTAGCAACATTTGACCAACATAAAAGATATATAGTAGACATAATATATTATTACATATATAATGATACCCCACCTAAAGATCATGTATATTACAAATTATGCTATCAATAATCATATTCTTCTTACAAAATACCTGTAATACCCATGCAAATTTTAATTTAATTTTTATAATTTATTAGAGATAAAGTAATTTGGTTGATTCTAATCCAAGTGGGAATAGAAAATTAGAAATTATAATTGGAATAGGATATATGTATAACCAAACAAGCCTAAGTAAATAAAAGTATAAATAGTCCAATATGATTAATTAGGGTCTATAGCGAGAGAGAATTGAAGATCGGGAGAACACAGGTATGGAAGAAAGAAACCTAGAAGCTTTGTTCACCAAATTGAAGCAAGTTGCAAGTTGCCTTTACTTTATTTTTTTATATATATAATTGTGGCTTGAATAGTAAGATCTTATTATCTAACTTATTTAAATTTTATAGCATCTTCGAAGATTAAATCTCTTGATTTAGACATGTTGATTATTGATATATACATGAAGATTTATTCATAAGTTGGGAATATTATGTGAATTTGAGAGAATATGCTTACTGTTGAACATAGATTTGCTATTAATTATTTGGAATTGAATAATGTTTATTATTGCAAGAAGTTGACCAAATTTGTTCGGATACTTCATGCAAGTTAATGGGTAATTAGCATCTATATACATAACATAGACTAAGAAGCACAGACACTTCTACGAAGGTGCCGTGTCTGTGCCAGACGCGACACTCCATAGACACTTCATGGACATGTCCATAACTTAGAAACATTTTTTTATTAAATTTGGACACATAGCTGACACATCCCGGATACTTGACTAACACATCCTACACTCTCCAATACAGTCTAATATAATACAAACATATAACAATGTTGAAAACTATACAATTCAAAGTGTCCAACCTTCTTTTTTCAATTTAGAGAAAATTGACATTATATTACATGATATAACATGTATACACTTCTCATATATAATAAAACAATTATTATAATAACGAGGGGGGAGAGTAATATTTGTATGGATGTACACACGGTAAAAGAGGATTAGACTGAATCTGAAAGTTTTAGTGGGTTAAAAGTTGTGAAAACCGAATGATTTTAAGGTAGAGTAGGTCATATGTGAAGTTGACAAATATATGTATGTGTATATGCGTGTATATATATTGAACCCTAATTTCAATGCATATATTTTGAAATTTTCGAAGATTAGGGCTTGGAATGGGAATTAGATTATAATCTTATGATTTTTTTTATTTTGGGTAGAATTAGAGATTAATTTGACAATGAAAAGCTTTGAAATATCAAAAACGGTAATTAGAATTTCTCAGGCATCGAACTGTAGCATGAGAAAGAAGGAAAAAAATACAAACAAAAGAAAGCTGATTCTCATTGGGCCTCACCCCCACATGTGCGAAGGAGCGTGTTTGCCTCCGTGGGGCAATGATTTAGTTTCAGGCTAAGCCTCCTGGCTACACTTGCTGAACCTAACACAATGTGCCCACCCTAAGGTCCATCCGGCAATAATTTGTATTTTTAATTAGTCAAAATGAAATAAAAATAAAAATAAAAGGTAAAAATATCTAGAAATACCATAAAATTACAAAAAATTATAATCTATGAAATAATCTTAAATGAATTTAAATATTTGAAATTAGAAAATAATTAGGTGGTTTAATTGGGTAAAAAACCAACAAAGTAATTCATAATACACTTAAGCAGAGTACGAATTAATGATAAAGAATTGATCGTTAAATTTTACCAAGACCTAGATAATATGTTAACGGTTTGGTTTGGATGTATGAGGGATGGATATAACTATAAGTGTATTTAGCCAGGTTAATTAATGGTTGGGAAGTATTAATGGTTAATAAAGTAATAATTTTTAATAATTAATAATTATGATTTTTTTCATTGGTTGGAGGGGTTAATAATTATGATTTTTTTTTATGAGACTAATTTAGGTCATTTGTGAGAAATTATTTATCAATCATTGAGACAGGTTTTTAATGATTAATGGAATTGTTAATCAAGAAAGTTAAGTGATTGACAGGTTAAGGTATAATAACAATCGTGCAGTGGACTTATGTGGAAATTTGATTAAACATAATAATTAATGAGATATTAATTAATATATGGATTGAGTACGATAATTAGTGTGCTCTTAATTATGAAAAGATTGTGGATGTTGGATTGAAGTCAAGCACTGAATCTAAGTATTAGACTAGATGTTCCTTTATTTATAATTCGGGGGGCGTGAAAATACTAGTGAAGAGAATAAATCAAAGTTTCAATGCTAGTATTACCCGCATTAACTTCGTAACTCATGCTAACAACATTGAAGTCAATCTTTAGAAAGTTGGCTACCTATATTTCTTGTTTTTACTTCTCTTATAAGAGACTCGTCAGTCTCCACAGTATAGTCATAAACCGGAAACAAGCAACTAGACATTCTCCTCCTTTCTTCTAAAGTATTATGTAGATCTTTATTAATTATTTTTATGATAACTAAAAAACATTACATTGGAGGTATACAAGAGAAATCATATAGTTATACAAGCAAAGATAAGTATCACAGAAACTAGACAAAAGAATATACAACATGGAGTCCACCTCATTAAACCACAAAAAGAGAACTAGAGTCCAGAACTTCAACTTTTGAGCCATCAATTCTACATCTTCAAAAGATATTCTATACATCTCTTTCCAAATGCTCCATATATTGCACAACTAAGGCCACTCTTATAACTTCCTGACACTCCTCCAAACACAACACACTCTTAACACTGTGAATCCACTCCCAGATCTTCCTCGGTATTGGTATTAAATATGTCCCCAACATGTTGGTCATTGGTCAAATGTGCACCAAAAAAAAGGTATATCCGTTAATTCAAGGACTATATATTATATTTCTAGATTATACTATTATGTTAAAAAAGAATGAAGTGCTAATATTTGACATTCTATATTGAATAAAGGTAAAACTTTGTCTCTTAGACACATAACATCACCTGAAACAAATCCAGTCCATATAAATAGCCTGGACCCCAGCTGAAACCCTTCACTGACAAATGACCTACTCCTCAGCACTGGCACATCCACAGCTTCCACCCTGCTCACTAGGCAACTTCATAAAAATTCCAATATTTAAGGAAAGGATTTATAATCAACCTCGCATCACACTTAAATTAAGTTCATTGTTTTTCTTATCTTCAAAATTTCCCCCATCCACTGGTTAATCTCTGTCACCTCCAAATATTATTGGCTTCCCAAAAATTTCAGAACAGAGGTATGCCAGACCAGCCATGTCACGCCCCGAATCCTAGAGACCCAGTGCATGAGTGATATGAAGGAAATTGGACTCGAAACCCGAGTCCCAATGCGAAAGCTAACCTCCACATTAGCCCCTATGGCTAATGTGACCATGAATAACATGCCAACGACACTACTTACATGTAACCATAAAGAAGGACAACAGAGCTATTCACCCATACAAATACCACATACATGTCATGGTCAACATGGCCTTATTACATACGATAACATAAACAAAAGGTGAGGGCAAAAATCACCTAGGAACTCCAAAAGTTGAAGGGCTGAATTCCTACACCATTTTACACGGTATATTAAATATATACATGAGTTCCACTGAAACACGAAGCAACATCAAAACAAGTCATGAGCATCCATGGTCGTCAAAAGTCGTCAAAAGTCATCCACAAGCACTCTAAAGCTAAAGATGTGGTATGTCCTCTGTGATGACGCCCTTTCCTGAAAAAAAAGGGGTGAGCACGAATGCCCCGTAGATGGTGGATAACCAACCCCCCTATGGCCATGAAAGTCATACAACACATCAACACATAAGGACCCAAGGGAGCATGCTTCAAAAGAAAAGTTTAGCGTCTAACGTTCATGCTTTAAGGCCCCACTCATCAAGCAACAACATTGAGCATTAACAACTTAGATATAAGGCAACATCACAAAATAGGACTGCAACATCATATGTTGTACCCAATGAAATGCCGATGTATCAACGAACCCACACATGCCGGGTCACACCCAATTCATAACATTTTGGATTGGTTAACACACCCGAATACACGCCGCAGCCCTGTATCCATACCCTCGCTTTACGGACTACTAACCCGCTTGGCCAAGTTTTGGGATTTCCAACCCTATGGGCCATGTCCCTTCTTTTTCCACAAACCAATCGCTTTCGAAAATCGTTTCTCAAACTTTGAAAATCAACACACACCACACACACACCGTCATGAATGGTCAATAACATGCGTATCAATTTTCACATGCTATACCAATGGCAATATGACAATCATTATCCCATTTCAACATTATAAGAATACTAACATCAATATTACAATTTTTTTTTTTTTTTTTTGGCTAGCATTAATATCACATATCATATAAAAGCAACAAGGGACTATAAACCCAAATGTCAATATATCAATAGAAGCCATAATTAGCACATCATCATATGAGGGTACTAACACAGGCTAGCCCTGGGATTCCCAAAATTTTGAGAGGCCCTAGGCGAACTTTCAAATGTGAGGCCCTTTATACATAAGGTTTCACAAGCGCAAAACAAATTATAAGAGTGCGGAATTTTAATTAAAATGAGACGGCAAGAACATTAAATATATTAATGTTGAAAACACAAAAAACAAAACCCGGTCATGGTGCTTTATAAAGAGCACGATCCAGTTTACATCAAAAAATTAAAAGGAAATATTCAATATAACTTGGTCACAAAAATAAAAATTCAACTTCATATCAAAGTAAATGTGATCATCTTGCATCTTGAGCAACAATCATTTATAAGTTCAGTGTCCCACAAGTTAGACAAGTCATTATTGTAATTTTTCCAATGGTAGATTCATCTACCTATCTTAAAAGTAGGAGTGTGATTGCAAGAGACATGGTAACTTTCATAATGCGAATCCAAGGCATGTTCCCAAAGATGTTAAGGTGGTTGTTCTTGAAGTCTTGGGGATGAAGGAGTTGATAGAATATCAAATGACCACTACATGAGTGATGACACTAATCAAAGTTAAGAACCTAATTTTGGGGAATGAGATTCGATAGGGTCTGTTGCTATTAAGACGGGTTACTTCATCATAAATGAAAAATGATGCTCCAACTCCAAGCCCAAGAGGTATTCCCAGTCCAGAGAGAGATAATTTCATTGATAGAGTAGATGATCAATCCATTTAGTAATTTATGATAAATAATTGAAATTTGAATTAATCTTGACAACAGGAATTTATTTTGTAAACTTCAAGTAAATATCATGGAAAGAGAAGGAATCAGTTGTTTGCATAATCATGCAGACATATCCTAGAAGCTCAGCACAACTACAAATGCTAACATCTAGATATGGCAAGCCATCATCAGTACCTGCTATATTTCATCACCTTCCTTCCTAAATTTTAGGCCCATCCAAATTCGAGGCCCTGGGCCCAAGGCCGGCGTTGTACTAACATAATCTCCATCAATTAACACAATTTCCAGCACTTAAACATAATTTCCAGCACTTTTAAGTATTCATGAATTCAACCTCTACGTGTTATAATTCAATTCCACTTTCATGAATACATCAACATCTAAGCATTAGCAGTTCAAACACCTAAGCATCAACATATATATATATATATATATATATATATATGTCTATATCATGCAATCTCTACATACATATACATATATATATATATATTTACATCATAGAAATCACAGTCACTTGCATAGTCAAAGGAATTGAAGGTTAGACACCCCTACCTCAAATTGAAGTAAAAACCCAAATTCCACCAAATGTGAAAGTGCACCAAATGAAATTCTAAAATCATAGGAACGTAGCCCTTGTCAAGCTACTCGACTTTCCCTTCTATGTCTTCGGATTCCAAGCCGAAGTGGATCAAAGGAGGGCTTGAAATGTGGATCTAAAAGTGTAAAATGAAGAAAAGGAGATTGAGAGAGAGCTGGAAATTTTGGCCAAACAAATAGCCTACTTCACCCACTTGCCTCTATTTATAACACCAACCCCCCCCCCCCCCCCCCCCCCCCCCCAACCCAAAAAAACTTACTCCCCACTTGTGCTATACATACATACATATATACACATATGTGACCCCACACATCCCATAACTTTCAAGTGTGTCCCTAAATGAAATATAAGGTGTGGAAATGATTCCCGAGCACACAGCCCACCCCGGGCACACATGGCTGACTTCCCGGGCCCACTTGCCCGACTTGAGAAAAACATCCCAAAAACGACTCTTAGAGTACAATAACTCTCGAAAAGGCTAGGAAAAATCCCAGACACTCCGAAGCACAATCCCCACATGTCATCTAACACACAAATGCACAAGTAAAATGACAAGGAAAAATGAAGAAAATAAAAAAACAGTGTCTACAAGCCACTCCCCTTTCCAATTTCAGGCATGAAAACAAAACTAGGATTTCTTGCACCCTAACTTCAAGACATAAAAATCTTCCCCTCCTCAATCTAATTCATCACCAGTTTCAACAAGCATTCCTTCTTCCGAAACCTCCGAGCAAGATATCCTTCCTCACCCCTTTCCACAATGCTTGCTTAATGGATTTACAGACCAATTCCATGTCTTCGCCACTCCATAATGTTAGACTGAATCACTAGTTTAAGCATCAGAGTCTAGAGATCCAGTGTGAGGAAGAAGTAAACATGAAGGCAAAGCCAAATAAACAAATATAGACATACCGAGGGACATTAGAAGACATTTTACGAATATCCCAAAGTTTGATGGCCTGATCTTTTCCATTTGAGATCAAATACCGCCCATCTCCGCGACTGTCAATGAATGTAATGCCTTCCAGATGTCCTGCTAGAATGCCAGCTTCTTGTCCCCTTGTAAAGCAACGCCTGTCCCATACCTGGAGGTGCAAAAAAACAGATTTTAGAAAACGGGTCCCAATCATACACGAAATACATGCGAAACTACTACAACAATAATGCCACACCAGACCAAACAAAACTTAGCGCCATACTTAATAAAATTCAGACTACACAATAATGATCCTGCCTTTGTAACAAAATAGACCTCGTAAATGTTTTTTCCCCCTTGTAAATGAGTATAGACAAACTCAAAGTTGAAACAGCAGCGTAAACAGTAATGACTTCTCAAAAATCCCATATACTTCCACAGTCTATTTTTATGAGACTGCATTTCAAAAGAATTTCTTGCTATTATTATTATTATTTTACTTTTGTATGTAATGTTTGTGAAAAATATCTTTTAATCTACTTCAAATATCTTTGATTCCGAGGGTATGCCCTCTGTGCACCTGTAATTCTTGATCCTTTTCTAATACAACACCAATTATGAAATATATATATATATATATATATATATATATATATATATCTTTGATTCCCTTCAAAAAATTTGCATTCCCCTTCTTCAATCGAACCCTAATTCTTCTCCTTCAAAAATATCTCATTTTTCTTTTCTTTTTATTTATTTTTCTTCTTTTTTTTTTTTTTTTCCTTTTCTTAAAATTTCTTCCTGCACTCATGTATGATGTACCCTTTCTCTTTCATTTCTTATTCTTCTCTTTTTTTTTCTCTCTCTTCTTCTGCTAATAGTCTAGCTATGGAAGCATGTCTTGAAGTGCTATCATCATTGGGACTTTATTTAGCTGATCTCACAGTGATGTTTTAATAGCCTTTGTCTCATTTATCTGTTTTTGTAGGTTTGGGGTATGCCCTGGACCTGAGTTCTTTGGATGTTTCCTTTTCAACCTTTCTCTCTTATGTACTCCCTGTGTATCTTTTGTATTAATAAAATCACCACATTCAGGAAAAAAGAAATTATTGCTGCAATTCTTTTTTACTGCAATATTTTGCGAATAATGACATACTATTGAATCTTGATTACTGCATTTCTTTTTTTCGGCTTGCATTCATGTTGCACTATTAGTAAGGGAGAAAAATTTTATTTTATCATCTACAATGTGCCCCCTCGGAAATAAATTCTTGGCTACGTCACTGTTGCTATCTAAAGTACATAATACCAAAAGATGGTCCAGATACCCATAATTCATCAGATACATGACAAATGGCTGAATTCTAATAAATTTTGCATTATCGTAGTGTACAATATACAGCATTAAAATAGAGTTCCACTATTTGCAGATGACACATCACAATAACTGTCTTTGAATAATCCCTAAAAAGAGATCCATCACTCCACATATGTAAATGAAATTGTGCCATGGAGTACACTTGGATTTGTAGGAACGTGCCGATCAATGCAAGTTTTGCTGCAAGTTATGTCTATGAGGCTTAATTAAGTAACTCCCTGATTTGGTGGTTTGAATAAAAAATAAAAAAAAACTATATATTTATGGTAGGAGGTTGGCATAATTTAAAACTGATATTGCCTGAATTCACTTGAAGACAAAAGAAAAATACCTTACAGAGGTTATCATCACTCCCAGAAAATATGAGATGGCCACTTTCATCAGCAAAGCACACAGCATTAACATCAGACTGCAACGAAATGTAAATCAATTTTTTTAGGTTTTAACATATATATACTGTCGAAGTAAAGCAACCAAAAGAGGAAAACGCTGAAATAAGAAAGTAGTACAGAACAAATAAAGTCACATCCATCACAGAGATGCTTCAGACATGCACAGTTTCGTTTCAAAATATGTTCAGAAAAACAGAAACAAGCATTACATATATAGAGGCAGAGAACATGAGAGTGTACAGTGGGAAAAAGTAAGAGAGCAATAAAAAGTAAAAATAAAAATAAATAAATAAATAAAGAGATAGATCAAAGAAGCAATTCATCAACTCAAAACTTACTACCTAATGCGAAAATGTAATTGGGGTAAAATTTGAACAGTTAAATTGTTGTACTGTAAAAAACATAAAAAATAAATTTTGAATTTGAGTAGACGATTACTTTGCCTCAACTTGTCACTTAGAATGAGAGCATCAATTCTGGAGTAGGTGAGCCTCTCTGGCAAACCTAAAAGGAAGGATGACATATATCCTAATAAAACCTTTTTTTCCTTTTCATTTAGTATATTTCTACAAAATCTTTCAGAGGGGAAATCATAAGCACACGTCTGAAAGAAAATCTCAAAGCAATAAAGCCTTGAAATCCAACTATTTGGGGCAGTGAAGAAACAGTAAAATATAATCCACATATTGTCAACTTAATTCAAGAAGTGAACCAGAAAAATATTCAATATCCCAAGTTCATCTACCAAAAAATAAAAAGAGAAAAATATTCAAAATCCATAAAGCTTCCTGTTGACAACCACAGACACAAAAGACTGATTAGAAATGTCCCATCATAAAACTAAACTACTATACCGCATGTGCTGGAATACGGAGGGTAATCTTATTTGCTTTGAGATCATAAACACATATTGAATTATCATTACAACCAGCTACAATCTCTCGCCCATCAGTTGAAAATTTTACAGAGAAGATTCCAAAAGCATAGTCACCATCATCATCATCAGCGAAAACCAGACCCTCATGAATTTCCTGCATAAAAGGAACTATAATAAGAAACAGTTAATTATAACTGAACCAAAGTTAATCTCTATGGGCTGCCCTAGCAAGAATTTGAAGCTATTATAATTGATCTGTCCTAAAGATAGGATAAATTGGCAGTAATAAACAGAAAGGAGGGTTCAGCATGGTCATTTAATCACGTTGTGAATTCAGGCAGTCCTAGCACCCAATGAATCTACTGAGGGAGCTCTAGTATCAAGAAACCCATTAAGGAACCTAATCATCATGTCCGTAAGCATAGCTCTATGTAATGCTCTAGATGTCTGGTCCAATTATGGACTTTCGAAATCAAAGACCAGCCTAGTTGAGAAGGAACTTTCTATCATATGAATAACATAAGTTAGATTGGTTAAGGGAAAAATATTATCACAAAATTAGTGTCACAATGTCATCCTCATTCTGAATGTTCCTCATAGCAGACGGAAGCATCCTACAACTGATACAATGCACATATATACCATTAAGACCTTTGCCTACTAGAAGGATCTTCTACTATCACTTTTACTTTTTATTTTTTTCATTTGGAATTGCAGTTGGCCAACTTTCCTTTTCTCAATTCAAATAATAAACCATAGCTACTTTATAAGATCATAAGAATTTGACTCATTGTCCACTAGGTTAGTGGCTGGTACAAAAAAAAAAAAAAAAAAACCTGGAAACCCAGTACGGCCATGCAGATAAGAAGCATAAATTTCTAGTTCCTAAGGCATTCTAGATATTCTTCTTTTTTATTATTATTATTATTTTTTCTTTTTTTCTTTTTTTTTTTTTTTGTTTTTTTCTGTAACTTCTGCAATATTCAGTAACAACGACGCTTGAGATACAGGGCCAAGAGTTACAGAATGAGCTCCTTCAACACTTTCAATCCACCCTTGGCCAGAGTTTCACCCAGTATCCAGGTATGGACACTTTCTCTAATCTCATCTCTAAGTCTGTCCCATCATCTTTACTTCCCTCACTTACTACCATACCTACAGACTTAGAGATTCAGGAATGGATCCTTTCCTACAAAAGTCCTGGCCCAGACGGGTTTAATGCCAGTTTTTTCACACATTCTTGGCCCATCATTCATAGGACAAGAGGTCACTGCAGCCATAAAAGATTTTTTCATCTTTGGAAGGATGCTAACTGAAATAAATTGTTCATACATTGGCTTAGTTCCCAAACCCCCTAATCCAACCTCAGTTACTGACTTTAGGCCAATCTCTTGTTGTAATTTGATCTACAAATGCATTTATAAAATCCTTGCCCTTAAGCTTGGTTCAACACTACCATTTCTCATTAGCCCTGTTCAGAATGCCTTTGAAAGGCAGGCCAATTACTGAGAATTTTTTAATGGCTCATGAATTACTGAATGGTTACCATAAGTCAGGTCACCCACCAAATTGTGCTCTCAAGGTTGATCTTAGGAAGGCCTTGGACGCATTACATTGGCAATTTATCCTAAACACGCTCCATCTATTTGGATTCCCTCACTGTTTTGTTCATTGGGTGTCCCAGTGTATCACTACTCCCTCATATTCTGTCTCTCTCTTAATGGAGAGCTGTTTGGATTCGTTAAGGGCAAGAGATGTATTAGACAAGGGGATCCTATCTCTCCTCTGTTATTTGTCCTAGCCGTGGAGGTTCTCACATTCAACAATCCATCTCACTTAATCTAGGCTTCAAATTCCATTGGAGATGCAGCAAGTTATCTATTACACACCTTATTCTTGCTGATGACATAATGTTATTCTCTTATGATAATCTCACCTCAGTTGAAGTAGTAAATGAGGCTCTCAATCATTTCTTCTCCTTCTCAGCTAACCATCAACAGAGCCAAGAGTTCCATATTGTTCACACGGGTGGACAGTCAGACAAGGGAAGACATTCTTTCCCTCCTACAATTTGAGGCTGGTACACTGCCAGTTACCTACTTGGGCCTCCCTCTGTCTTCAAGTGCTGTTAGAGCTAGAGATTGTCAATCTCTTGTGGAGAAGATCACATCAAGAATTGGGATGTGGACTTCAAGGTTCCTGTCTTTTGCAGGAAGAACAGTTCTCATCAAATCTATTTTGTGCTCTATTCACTCCTACTGGTCACAGTCCATGGTGCTTCCCAAAGGTGTTTTGGATAGAGTGAATAAGATCTTAAGATGTTTCCTCCAGACAGGCAGAATTGAAGAAACCTGCTGCAAAGGTGGCTTGGCAATCAGTGTGCAGGCCTAGATGTTATGGTAGATTGGGACTTCTGCTCTAGAATTTTCTAATTCAATTGCAAACCTCAGATTCATTTGGAATCTGTTTTTCAGAAAAGGATAGTCTCTTGGTGGCTTAGGCTCAAAGATACATTATTGAAGCTAAGAGTGTATGGACTGTTAAGCCATCCTCTCTGCGCTCTGGACTTTGGAGAAGATTGATGAAGTTGAAAGACATCGCTAGGGGACAGATTAAACACAGAATAGGGGCAGGCACAGACACAGTGATGTGGCTTGATTATTGGCTGCCAAATGGGCCATTACTAAATGAGTTAAACCTAACTGATGTGGAAATTCTTCAACTTGATCCCTACATTAAAGTTGGTAGCCTAATTTCCAATAATCAGTGGGTTATACCAAAACCCCCCACCAACACCCCCCCCCCCCCCCCCCCTCCCCTCTCACTAAATATATTTCCATTATTTCAGTCTCCCACTTTCATTGGCCAACTGCAGAGCTTGCCTCCTCCAAGTATGACACAGGATGCTGTTAATTGGATTCCATCCCCCACAATGAAGTTCTCCCTCTCACATACTGTCAAGTACCTCAACCCTCCTTCTATTCTATTTCCATGGCACCACAGCATTTGGTTCAAGCACCACATACCTAAGCATGGATTCATAGCATGGCGGGTTTCACACATTGGACACAAAGCCAATGCTGTATAAGCATTATACCAATGCATGCTACATATGCTCAGCTAACTGTGAGACTCTAGACCATATTTTCTTCAAGTGCATGTTCTCTGCCAGTATTTGGAGTTTTGTGCAGCATATAGCAGGGTTCTATATTTTACCTGACAGTTGGGGTAACCTTGTGGTTTGGTGCTCAGCTAACTGGAGCTCTAATAGGTTCTTGTTGCATAAACTGTTGCTCTCTGCTGCTATCTACTTCATTTGGCAGGAGAGAAATCCAAGAGCATCCAGGAATAAATCTTATTCCCCTCTGCATATCATCATGTTAATCAAGAGCTGCATCAGAAATAGACTTGATTCGATCAGATTGAAGAAGGGGTCCGATCTAAGTGGCCTTGGATTTATGGAGGATATTCATCAACTTTTCCTGCAGGGCTGCTTAACTGCAGGTGTTCAATCCTGGACTCTCACTGACTGATTTTGATGACACTCACTTGGTGTTCTTTTGTTGAACCTTTTTCATGAAGTGCATCTGGTAGAAACTATGTTTGTTGATGTTCTTCTGTTTAGTGTAGGGTGCCATCTGATGGATGCTTTGCCATCTTTTGTTGTTGGTTCAGTTTTTGTTTTAGTGTCCTAAATGGACTCTCCGTACATTGTACATACTGTTTTCATATATACAAGCTTACCCTTCCAACCAAAAAAGAAAAACAATGCTTGAGATACATACCGTAATGTTTGCAACAGATTCTGTTGCAGCAGATCCAATGTTAACAATATGGACAATAGGTGAAATACTGGCATAAACCTGCAATCATTACATTTAAAATTGAATGACAAATGATAAACCATTGAGTTATAACCATCATAGTACTAAATCAACATACAATCAAATAGTAGGAAACAAGCAACGCATGATCACATTCAAAGACACAGAGAATAGAATACGTACTTGTGTCTGTGTTGATGGATCAGAATAATAAGCTGGATAACTATCAGTACTAAACGATCAATCAATCAAGTGACAGTAATAAACTAAGGGGAATCACTTGCATAAAATGCAATGAGGAGAGAGTAGATGAAGAGAGGGAAGAGAAAAGACAGCTCTTGTATTTTTGTGTGTTCGCCTTCCTATATAGAAGCATTCAGTATATGTCACACTACCAATACTTCAAAAGATGATTAGTATCTATAATATATAGATGTACAAGTCCTACAATTCTCACCACTGCAACCCAGTCCGATAAAAGAACCAATGGAACCCTAAGCCGCCACCACCAATAATTGACCATTTTGGAGGTCGCCACAATAGGGCCGCCATCTACAGCTCCAGTAATCGCCAATACTCAACACTGGCAACCACCAACTGATATACCAAGGGAGTGAGGTTGGTTCGACTCGGCGACTGGCCCTTCAACTGGCGACAAACTCACCAGAAACTGATACAATTCTCTCCCTTCGCTGATTTTTCCCTTTATTCCAATAACCAATTTGGATACATGCCAGGGAGATCAACAATTGAAGCTATATACCTACTGAGACAATTAGTTGAATAATGTAGGAGCTATGTTACCCGGACTCGGACTCGGACTCGGACTCGGACACGGGTGTCGGACACGGGTATGTGTCTAGAGGTCGGATCCTTCTATGTATCAAATTATAGGACACGGGGACACGAAATAAAAGTGTCCAAAACTCGGACACGGGTACTTGGACACTTCATATATGTTGTAAAGAAGAGAGTACTCTTGTCACTTGTATACCTTCTTTTAGTTTGCACCAGTTGAATTTATATTTTTTATTAAGTCTTTTTTTCTCTTTTAGCAACCACATTATCTTTTATTGTTTTACCTCAAACCAAAAAAAAATAAGAAAATAATTTACAAGAGAAAGCCCAAATAATAGCCCAGTTCAATGTATTATATAATTGAAACACCCTTACAATTAAATGTCCAAATAATAGCCCAGCCTAATGGATTATATTATTAAAATAGTCTTACAATTTAATGTCCAAGTAATAGCCCAGCCCAATGGATTATATTATTAAAACACTCTAATAATTCAATGTCCAAATAATAGCCCAGCCCAAATGATAGCCCAAGCCCAATGTATTAATGTGTGCACAATGGCTATGGGTTACAGCTATAACCCACAGCTGTAGTCCACATGTAACGTGTATATGATAATAAGAATGGATACAGCTGGCAGCAACAAAGACCATTAGTCTGCCAAGGATATGAAAAGTCTGCAGAGCGTGAAATATACTCTCCACCAAAAACAGAAAATCTGCTACAGCTGCGCGTGAAGAAACCATCATCTTCAACTTTCCAAAAACCCTATCTTCGAACCAGCCGCCTCCACAAACTTACAGAACACATCCGATCTAACATACAGGCTTGAAAAAAAAGTTCAAATCCCTAACAAGCATCCACGATACAATCTTCTATGAGCAAGTCTTCATCAGTCATGTCCGATGTCGCGAGAGGGTGTGCAACCCATATCCCGAGTCGGTGTCCGTGTTGTGTCGTGTCGACACGGACACCCTGGGCTAATATGCCGAGTCTAGGTAACACAGTGCAGGAGTAAGCAACAAGACTTGCACATGGTTTTTATAGACTTAGAAAAAGCATATGATAGGGTCCCAAGAGATATAATTTGGTGGGCTCAATAAAGAAAACAAATTCCCCTACAAATTTTATAAAGTATATAAGATATGTATATGAATACAAAAACTAAAGTGCGTACGACGTGTGGTGACAATAGTGAGTATCTCATAAATGTAAGATTGCACCAAGGATCGGTGCTAAGCCCATACCTATTTGTAATAATCTTAGATGAAATATCAAAAGAATTCCAAAGCAAGATTCCATGATGCATGATGTTTGCTGATGACATTGTGCCCTTGGATACCTCCAAAGAGAACTTAACAATAAAATTAGAAATGTGGAAAAATACTCTAGAATCGAAAGGATCGAAAATTAGTCGAACTAAAACTGAGTACATGGAGTGTAACTTTGATAAAGATTCATATAATGATAACACTTCAAAACTAAAAACAACCACCTCCGTTTTCAATGATCAATAATACAAAATGATGGAGAGATTGATAGTGATATAACTATTAGAATTGGAGCGGATTGGACAAAACGGAGACAAGCTAGTGGGATATGATGTGATAAAAGAATGACACATAGGCTGAAAGGAAAATTCTATAGTACCATTATTAGACAAACTTTGTTGTATAGAATGGATTGTTGGGCCCAAAAAAAGAAATAATGTCTTCATGATGCGGAAATGAAAATGTTAAGATGGATGAGTAGAGTTACTAAAAGAGATAGGGTCACTAACGAAAGTGAGAGAAATTGGGGGTGGCACCCATTGGTGAGAAAATTAGAAAATTAGAAAAAGTAGACGTAGATCGTTTGGACTCTAAATGCTTACATCGAAGACCTAGTGACGCGCTAGCCAAACGAGAAAACTAGTTGAAATGGGAGGTAAGAGACGGAGAGGGAGGCAAAAAATAACATGGGACAATGTTATTAGAAATGACTTTAAAAGGTTAAATACTGTAAGTGAAATGGCATGTAAAGAAAAGATTGGAGAGAGAAAATTCATGTGGCCGACCATTCATATGGGATTAAGGCAAGGATAATGATGATGATGAATATATGGATGTACAAGTATCAATGGAATCAACTATAAATCTTGTATCTACTACATATTACTACAACAACAAAAACAACCACCAAGCCTTTTTCCCCAACTATTTGGGATCAGCTATATGAATGTTATGTTTCCATTCCACTCTATTTAAGGTCATCGCCTCAATCACAATATACTATCATATCCTTCCTTACTAACTCTACCACGTTAACTTTGGTCTTCCTCTTCCTCTTCCTCTAGTATTACCCTTAATGCAGACTAGGTCACTTTTCCTAACTAACACACTTAAAGGTCTTCTTTGCACATTTCCAAACCATCTTAATTGGTTTTCTCTCATTTTTTCTCCTTTTCTGCTACTCCAGCCATCTCCCGAATGTGAACATTTCTAATTCTTTGCTTTCTAGTCTTACCACACATTCATCTCAATATTCGCATTTCTGCCACACTTACCTTGTACATATGTTGCTTCCTAGCTACCCAACATTCTGTGTCATAAGGTATGGCTGGTATAATAGTGACATGATTGATATAAACCTAATACTTTTACTTATCAAAAAAAAATAGTGACATGATTGATATAAATCAAATGTTCTTTTAGCAAAGTCTAATACGACTTATGTGCATTTTAAGCCCCATCCTCCCTTTCTTCCTCTCCCTGTCCCTCCTCACCCATCAAAATACAAGGTTCTAGTAACGTCTATGGTATATTATTGTCTTTAAGTATTAACTCTAAATTTTTATCAACAATAAAAGGGTATAATTCAAAACTATTGGTGGATTTGGAGTGCTGGTTGAATTCTTGTCGGCAAGGAAATCTTCAATTGCTTTTACTTGCTTGTGTGTTACTTCTATTAAGCTTCTTTAATTTTAGAGGGGACATTGATGTGCTAAACACATTTATTGCAAAATAATATAAAGGAAATTTTTAGACCAATCCCACCTATATATAAAGAGAGGCACTTTATGCCCCAGTGTTGATGTGACGACCAATTCTCCCCTTGTCCCCAATCATTCCCCATTAATTACTTGACGTGTTTGTTATTTGATTATTTAAATAATTTTCTAATCAAACTATAGTTACAATTTTTTTGTATTGTCAAATCTATAGGAAACATATGTTTCGTTTTGTAGATTTAATAAACTTAAATATTGATATTATAAATTTCTTGTTGCTGACTAATTCTGCTCAAAGAAAATCATGTCATTGCCCATGTTTCGTGTTCATAAAAAAAAATAATAATAATAAAAGACTGAAGAAAGAAATCAAGAATGAAATAGCACGAGGATTATGTGGTTTGGCCATTACGGCCTATATCCATAGCATACAAAGCCTAAAGGGCTACCTCACTTTTATTATATTCTCTCTTAGTTTTGTTTACAATGACCACCTATATTTATAAGAATAAATTTGAAAAATATATTGATACAGGATTCCTAAAATCAATCCCATAAATCACTCCTATCAATATTTTATCACGGCATAAATCACTCATATCATGATATTCTCCAACATTTAGGATGAACAATGGACCGAGGAGTTACCAGGACATTTACGCCTTTTTGGATTACTAAAATGTGGAGTGCCTGAGAGGGAAAAATGGGATAGCTGGGAGGCCTTTGAAGTAAATTAGAAGAACATATGGGGGATGTTCGAATAGCTGACACGTAGATACCTCTTCTGGACAAGTGAATGGTCAACATAGAGAGAGAGAGAGAGAGAGAGAGAGAGAGAGAGAGGCAAGTGGACTGTAGGATTAAAAAATACAATACAGGAAGAGTGAGGGATTACCACATGGCAAGAAAAGAGGCAATCACATGAAAGCAGCCCTTTCGTTGATTGACTTGCAAAAGTAGAAGTTCCTTGCTGGCACCATACTCTTTATTATCATCAATTATTCGTTTGAACATGAATGTATTACACGACATGGCTTTCAGTACCAAATGTTTTTTTATCTGGAAATTTCACTACAAAATGTTCAGGCAAAGAAATAGATATTTTTTTAATAGTTAGCATAAGCAATATATAATTATGTAGCATAATAATCATTCATTTGCTATTATGTGAAGTAGGTAAGAAGTCACAAACATGTCTGATCACCAATTTTGCTAAATCAGAGAAATAAGTTTTCTGGACAATCCCTACTTTTCCAAACAAACTTCAAATCAAATGCAATGGATATGGTAATTAATTCAAGATTGATGTCATAATAAATACAGATATGCATTCTTGTTTAACAACGATTGCAAACTTACAAGGAAACGCTGATCTGGTGAAAGAGATGAATCGGTAATCGTCCATCCCAAGCTTCTGGCTTGAATGTCCTTCTGGACTTTCCATCCATTGTCCACATTATATACCTTAATACGACTTTCCTGTTTAACAAAACGAGCAGAAATCACTTAAAAGAATAAAATTTTCAAACATTTTGATTGAGTCAATTAATCTGAAATCTTGTTATTGCATCTAGCAATTGGTATGAACTCAATACCTTAAACCCAGCAACAAGGAGAGAACCATCCGCGGAAAACTGTGAAACATAAGCACAGTCCATCTGATCAATCCTTGAAGGACAACTGCAGGGCAAATACCGGCTTAAAACATGACAACTATCAGCGGACGAGAATCTCCCCCTCCCCGAATAGTTACCCTCTCGACCGGCCAACATTTTCACCGGTGAAACAGGTAAACTCAACTTGCTGGTTACCACCCGACTCAAACGTTCATTGGGTCCAGACCTAAGCTTTGTGAGTTGAACAATTTCATGATCAAGATAATTTGATTGCTCATCGTGCCCCAATTTGGTACGAAATCCTTTGGAAGTACCCCCAATATCACAAGTTTTTGTATACTTATCAGACCTGTCCATTGTATTAGTAAATACAATTTCGAAATTTCACTGACTATATGTATAGACCTCAGTTCACAACCTTAGCAACCATGTGGTGCTTCATTTAACCGGAGATGATCGATGTTAATCCTGAAAACAGCATGTCTCAGACCAAAGGCGTACAATAGTGTGTGTAAATATATATGTCTGCGTATGTATATATAGAGAGAGTAATTAATTGCAATGACAAAGTTTAAAGATAAGTGATGAAAATTGCCGGAGTGGACTATTTATATAACAATCAGGACGAAGAGCTATATATTATACCTACACATATATATACACATACATCATCCATACTCGTGTGTCAGTGTGTGTGTATATAGTTGCACATATAACCTAATAATTTAACCGTTCACCACTCAAAATTGCGAAATTGCGACACTGAGGTTTAAAATTATCAGACAACTGATTTATCAAAAAAAAAAAAATTATCAGACAATTGAATAACAAGAAAGAGGAAAGAGGAAAACATTGGATCAATTTGAGAGCAGAGAGTTTATCTCACCTCTGTTAAGAATACCAATTATTAAACCATTGAAGTGCTATGGAACTATGGAAGTGAGCTTGCTAAGAAGATAACAGGAAAGCCAGAGAAATCGTTTTCGCGAGAAAGTGGGACTGCCTAGAAATTTTAAACTTATTTTCTGGGAAAATGAATCGCGGTGACGCCTGCAATTTTCTTGGTGCGTGCCGCAGTGATCAAGTGCGAGAAACGGTTCCGTTGACTCACGAGGGGAACACATGTGGCTCGCGCACGAAAACATCCGAACCGTTTGGGCCGAACATGAATTGAATGGTTGGTTAGTCCTGGTTCTTAACGGGTCGAATAATGGATCCGAAATCACGTGGTTGACATGGTTGTAATTTCTTTCCGGTGCTTTTTTCTTTACTTCGGGAGGACATTGGCGGGTAAAAATGTGGTTGCAGGTGTTCGCCATTTTTTCCGGCCTAAATAACCATACTAATCCTCTTGTTCCAACTCTCCTCGGGCTCCTAGTAGGAGCTCTCCAACTAGTGGAGAAAGTGTGTGACGCCTAAAAATAGTTCTGAATCTAGTTCTTTCTAGCTCTTTTTTTCTCTGATTATATAATTCATACGAAACGGGAGCGAATTTAAGAGTGAGAATGCAAAAGCAGCAAAATTAAGTTACAAAGAGTGAAAATATGAATGAAAGCGTGAGAGTGAAGCGGCAGCGTATGCGATGTAAATTATTACTAGTACTTTCTAGTTTCTACTTAGTTTTTTTTTTTTTTTTTTTTTGTATATTTTTCTATTTTACCTATCACATCTCTTAACAAATTATTACTTTCTACTTATGAAGTTATGAAGTACAGAAACGGACACGGATACGGGACATGAGTACGATACGATATGGACATGACGATATGAGAAATTTAAAAAAATTAAAACACGAACACGACAAGAATACGATAATAAAATAATAATATAATTTATTATTATATAAAAGAAATTATTCTTTTCTCAAATTCTCATTTATATTTATAAAAATGACCTATTTAAATTAGTCCCACAACACATCTCATATTTCTTTATTTATTTTTCATTTTTAAAAATTTAATCAATTATATACAATAATATAGATAATTACGTGGGCTTTAAACTAGGCTGAAAATACATGCAAGTAGACAAGCTTTAGTAAGCCAATTACAATAGTCAAATAGGCCCAAAAGAAATGATCCAAAAAGTTGGCCATAGTACGCCCTGCCTATAGGGCAAACTAAGTTTTGAAGCATTTAAGACCTACTAGGTCATTCTATAGAATCTATACAATTTCCACCGCATCGAAGAGAGAGAGAGAGAGTTGTGTTTGATCACATCAAAGATAGGGGTTCTGCCATCTCTTCACCTCTTTTTTTAATCACACGTCTCTCTCCTCCTTTTCCTCTCTGCCTCATGATCTGCTCCATCCGATTTATCTCTACCCTTCACGTTATCAAGTCCTCAGACGATGCGCAAATGATTTGAACCAAGATTGTTATAGAGAATGGACACACACACACACACACACATATATACATATCATCTTCTTCTTTCTCTCTCATTTTTTTTTTTTTTTGAAGCCTGATCGTCGTGTCCCGGAGGTGTCCCAACTGTGTCTGATCCAAAAATATATATAAAATAATGGGGATATGTTTTTCAGCGTGTCCGTGTCCGTGTCCGACACTGGTACAGTGCTGCATATTCACTTAACCCCATCATATCTTTAAACAATATGCTCTCCTTTTTACTTTTTTCCGTTGTCTTTCATCCTTTGTGTACTTTCCTTGTATTCCGTCTCTTTTCTCTTAGAGTATCATACCGAAAACTTACAGTGGGTTACCTAACTGAATAATTTTGAATTAGTTATTTATGCTAAATACAAATAAATGGAGAACCTCACGATCTTATTTGTTGCATAAATGATCAATTAAAAGTAACAGGTTTAACAATTCACTATACTTACTAATGTTTGTCCTTCTATCACATAATGAACAATCAACTCGTGACGCTTATGGAAAGTATTTATGTAACTTGCGCAACTCCAAATTCTATGTATGGTGTCTAGGTAGGGATGACAATGGGGCGGGTTTCTCATTCCCCATTCCCATTTAAATTTGGCACCCCCAAAATCGCCCCATAACAGATTATTTTTTTACCCCTAAACCCCATAACCGCCCCTGTCCCATCCCCGCTTGTCCAGCCTCCGTCCGCCCCACTTTAGAAGATAGGAATGAGTACGGTTTATTTAGAAGTGTGTGTATATATATATATAATATGTTAAATTGGTAAGTATAATAACATGGCAGGGGCTAATAGAAGTAATTCTATATGTAATCGAGGCGGTTACTGAGCGGGGGTACCCCTCTCCCGCCCCTGCCCCAAATACGGCCAATTTTTTTTCCCAACTCCCATCCTCATCCCATTTAAATAAATGATTCTCTAAACATGTTTTTAACGAGGCAGGGCGGTTCCCCACCAGGTTGGGGTAAATTATCATCACTATGTCCAGGCTTGCACTATCTATCGGCCTTTTCACTATATGGTTTGAAAGAATTATACGGGGTACAGTGATTCAACAAGTGTTTGCCCATGTTCTGAACCTGCATAACACCTTATCAGTGTTTCAAGTTCGCCCAAATTTATTCCACCTAGGTAGGGGTGTAAGATATTTTCTTCTTTGTGGCCCACATTATTTGAATACATGATATATTTCCAGTATTTGGTGGTTAAGTAAATTGATATCAGATTTAAATTATACGATTTAGTCAACTTTATTATTATGATAATTACCATATTGATATTTAATTACTGAGGAAGTGTTTCATTTTTATTCTTATTTTGATAAAAAGTGGAAATTAAGGTTATAATGAAAACGGGTCCTCTCTCTGCCTTTATAAAGTACATATATCTCATCAATTATGTATACTTATGAAATAACACGTATAATGTTTACGTGTGCGAAAGGTTAAAAGAGATAAGCTAGTTTCCACGCTTTGGCTATTATCCAGAGTTACAGTTTTGCATGTTGTTAGTTCTGCATAAATGATCTTGACGTTTGACTTGATTTTTATGAGATTTGCTATCATGAATCGAGGTATTTATATTTAATTATATATTTATGTATTATGGATATGTGAAAATAATGAAGTTCTAAGATTTTGAGATTCATGTTTTATTTGTGATTAATGTTTTGTACGAATAATTATAGTTCACATGTGGTGTTAGAATACATTGTATAATATGGTTAGGGTTAGCCATCTTCACCTACCTTTGTCACCATGTATAGAGTTACCATATATATATATAGGGTTTACGTGTTCACCACATATAACCCCTCCGATATAAACCCTTCTTGTATTCATTATCAACACATCAATACAATATACATTTTTTTTTTCTCTCTCTCTCTCTCTTACTTGCAGTTTGGTATCAGAGCCAACTCCGCTACCTTCTTTATTTTATGATTTTTAATTTGTTGGTGCCTTCCAATAAGTCCATCAAGAATACATTCTATTAGGTATCTGAATCTGGTCTTCACCAAGTCTTTTCGCAATTCAAAGCATATAGGGCGAAAGTTTAGACTCAGACCGTCTCGACGCCACCAAAAACAACCAGAAAGAAGCAAGCACGTTCCCCCATGCACCGCCATCCACGCACGTCCACATGCCAACGCGCGTCAGATCTACTCTACGCTACCTCACACATACCGTCACGTGCCAACGCACGTGACTTCTTCTTCCCTCAAGCTTCAACGCTCTCCTACGCGCCATGTCAACCACACGTTAGCACTACCACATCCGCATCCAGGAGCCATTCTGCCATATCAGCACTGCCACGTCAACAGTGTCAAAAAAAATTTCTTAAAAACTCTATTCTAATTCGCGCTGATTCTGAATTTGTAGTCCGTTTTTGCATTTGAAATTTTTAAATGGTAAAAAACGAGGTTACTCACCCCATATCAGTTATTCTTGAGGTGACAATTACTCCTTTTGGAGTCAATCTATGTGAAATTTTCTAAAAGGTCACAAGCTATGGTCCTACGTCACTAGAGATCGCACATCACCTACGCAAGCCAAAGAAGAGTCATCAGATGCCTATGCAACACTTGTTAAAGACTAGGATAGTAACAATCACAAGATTGTCACATGGTTACGCAACACATCTAATCTTTCCATTGGGATCAAATTTGGGAGTTACTATGACAACTATGGTTTTTCAAGCTAGTGCGTCCTGTGATGAATCAAAGTTTGACTCGATAACGGATCCGAATACGGTAGCGAAAATAGGAACCAAGTCTCCAGAGATGGAATGCATCTCTAAGACGCTAAAGTGACCATCCATGAGGTCACAGAACTCAACGAGAGCAACGCAGAAGTAAAAGATTAGAAAAAGGGCAAATAAGCCCTCAAGGGAAAAATGGTCTTTTTACATGGAAACAACGTCTTTAAAAATGTACATCATCCCCAAGACACAAGCGTGATTTCCCATGAAGTCACGGAACCCAAAAGAAAGCAAACGGAAGCAATTTAAAAAGAAAACCAGACAAGTTTATCCCCAAGGGCAAAATGATAATTTTTAGCAAGATTTAGGTGCTACCGAGCACACCATTAGATAAACAACAAAAAATTAACAAGGTTAGACTCAAAAATTACTTGATTTGGAGTCCGGACAAAGAAGATATGTTAAAAACAAAATCGGAGTCAAGGCGGCCAAGAAAAGGGGCACCAAGGCACCCCATGCGCACGCGGAGGCCTACCATGCGCACACTAATGCGCATCGCGCACATTGATGAAGCACACGTGACATCTGCTTGACAGCGGTGTTGATAGCAGCCCATTTTTTTTTATTTTTCAGAACTGAGAGCTATTTTGAGGCGTCAAACAAATTTTTTTACAAAAACACAAAGAAGAAACCCCCCTTAAAATCAAGTTTTCTACCCAACCATATTGAATGAAAATTTTAAAATGCGCTATGAAATGCCCAGTATACCCCTGGATCAGTTTAGGTCAAAAACGATGAAAATACAACTTCGCACCAAGTGTTCATTTGAACCTAAATGATGTTGTGTGCTAAAACAATCATGCACACAAACGTAAATAGTGATTTTAAGTGTGCGGGAATGACCCGTGGGCCCCATATAAGCCCGATGCAAAATTTGACCTATCAAAACTCAAATTTGCCTAAAATGGACTTTTAAAAGAAATTTTGAAACTTAAAATTATTAAATGGTTTCAAAAGACCGTTTGGCCCTTGGCCACACTTCATGCATAAATCAAAAGACCCTATGGAAGTGCTAAAGCCCACTTCCTACCACCCATGCAAATGTAATGAAGCTAAAACATGTTATTTTCTTATTTTTTTAATAAATCACTTGAAGATAAAAGTACTTAGATTACAAATAGAAGGTACTTGGCCCATGG